GGCCCCCGCTGCCCCGGGCCCCGGGCCCCCCGCCCCGGCCCCGCGGGACCCCCCGCGCCCCCTCCGGCCACCGGCCCGGCGCTCGGGACGTGTTCCAGAAGTGTCGCTTCGCCCCGCGGGGGCCTCCCCGCTTCAGCTTCGTGATCGCGGGCCGGCAGAGCGGGCGGCGCTGCCCCGGCAGGAGGTTCCAGACGAGCTTCCCGCAGCCGGCCGCGGCCGCGCTGGGCTCCCGCTACGCGCAGCGCCTGCCCATGATCGGCCGCGCCGGGCGCGCCCCGCGCCGCTGGCCCCGCGCCGAGTACTCGCTGCTGCTGCTGCTCTGAGCCGGGGGCGCTGGAGGGGGCGCTGGGCAATAAAGGGGCATTGAAGAGTGTCTGGTGGGCATTGAAGGGGGGGCAGGGGTCATTAAAGGGTGTCTAGTGGTCATTAAAGGGTGCCCAGAGGGCAATAGAGGGTGTGGTGGTCAGTGGATGGGGGGGAGTGGCTGTTAAAGGGTGTCCACTGGGCAATAAAGGGTGTCTAGTGGGCATTGAAGGGTGCCCAGTGGGCAATAAAGAGTGTCTGGTGGGCATTGAAGGGTGTCCAGGGGTCATTAAAGGGTGTCCAGTGGGCATTAAAGAGAGTCTGGTGGGCATTGAAGGGTGTGCAGGGGTCACTAAAGGGTGTCCAGTGGGCATTAAATTATGTCTGGTGGGCAATAAAGGGTGCCCAGTGGGCAATAAAGGGTGTCTGGTGGGCATTAAAGGGTGTCCAGTGGGCATTAAAGGGTGCCTAGTGGGCAATAAGGGGTGTGGTGGTCAGTGGCCGTCAAAGGGTATCCACTGGGCAATAAAGGGTGTCTGGTGGGCATTGAAGGGTGTGCAGGGGTCATTGAAGGGTGTCCGGTGGGCATTAAAGGGTGTCTGGTGGGCATTGAAGGGTGTCCGGGGTCACTAAAGGGTGTCCAGTGGGCAATAAAGGGTGTCTGGTGGGCATTGAAGGGTGTCCAGGGGTCACTAAAGGTGTCCAGTGGTCAGTGGATGGCAGGGAGTGGCCATTAAAGGGTGCCCAGTGGGCAATAAAGGGTGTCTGGTGGGCATTGAAGGGTGTCCAGTGGGCATTAAAGGGTGTCCAGTGAGGAATAAAGGGTGTCGGGGTGGTAAGCAGGTGTGGTGGTCAGTGGATGATGGGGAGCAGTCATTAAAGGGTGTCCAGGGGTCATTAAAGGGTGTGGTGGTCACTGGATGGTGGGGAGTGGTCAATAAAGGGTGCCCAGGGATCATTAAAGGGTGTCCAGTGGGCAATAAAGGGTCTCCAGTACCATTAAAGGGTGTCCAGTGGTCAGCAAAGGGTGTGATGGTCAGTGGATGGTGGGGAGTGGGCATTAAAGGATGTCTGGTGGGCAATAAAGGGTGCCCAGTGGGCAATAAAGGGTGTGATGGTCAGTGGATGATGGGGAGTGGCCGTTAAAGGGTGCCCAGTGGGCAATAAAGGGTGTGATGGTCAGTGGATGGTAGGGAGGGGGCAATAAAGGGTCATTAAAGGGTGTCCAGTGGACAATAAAGAGTGTCCGGTGGGCATTAAAGGATGTCTGATAGCCATTAAAGGGTGTGCAGTGGGCATTAAAGGGTGTCCGGTGGTCAGCAGAGGGTGTGGTGGTCAGTGGGTGGCATGGAGTGGTCAGTGAGTGGTGGGGAGTGGCTGTTAAAGGGTGTCCAGTGGGCAATAAAGGGTGTGGTGGTCAGTGGATGGCATGGAGTGGTCAGTGAGTGATGGGGAGTGGCCATTAAAGGGTGTCCAGTGGGCAATAAAGGGTGTCCAGTGGGCAGTGAAGAGTGTCTGTCCAGGGGTCATTAAAGGGTGTGGTGGTCAGTGGATGGGGGGGAGTGGCCGTTAAAGGGTGTCCAGTGAGGAATAAAGGGTGTCGGGGTGGTAAGCAGGTGTGGTGGTCAGTGGATGATGGGGAGCAGTCATTAAAGGGTGTCCAGGGGTCATTAAAGGGTGTGGTGGTCACTGGATGGTGGGGAGTGGTCAATAAAGGGTGCCCAGGGATCATTAAAGGGTGTCCAGTGGGCAATAAAGGGTCTCCAGTACCATTAAAGGGTGTCCAGTGGTCAGCAAAGGGTGTGATGGTCAGTGGATGGTGGGGAGTGGGCATTAAAGGATGTCTGGTGGGCAATAAAGGGTGCCCAGTGGGCAATAAAGGGTGTGATGGTCAGTGGATGGTAGGGAGGGGGCAATAAAGGGTCATTAAAGGGTGTCCAGTGGACAATAAAGAGTGTCCGGTGGGCATTAAAGGATGTCTGATAGCCATTAAAGGGTGTGCAGTGGGCATTAAAGGGTGTCCGGTGGTCAGCAGAGGGTGTGGTGGTCAGTGGGTGGCATGGAGTGGTCAGTGAGTGGTGGGGAGTGGCTGTTAAAGGGTGTCCAGTGGGCAGTGAAGAGTGTCTGTCCAGGAGTCATTAAAGGGTGTGGTGGTCAGTGGATGGGGGGGAGTGGCCATTAAAGGGTGTCCGGCGGTCAGCAGGGAGGATTTGGTGGTCAGTGAGTGGCATGAAATGGTCAAAAAGGGGAGTGCAGTGGTCAGCAAAGAGGGTTTGGTGGTCAGTGTTGAGTGGTCAGTGTTGAGCAGTCAGTGAGTGACTCCAGTGGTCAGTGCTGAGTGGTCAGTGAGTGACCCCAGTGGTCAGTGAGTGACCCCAGCGCTGCTCCCTGCTCTATAAATTCTCATTTTTCCGTTTTCTCCCCAATTCCCTGCCCCAGTAAGGCCCGGCCGTGCTGCAGAACAGATTTTACTGGAAAACCTCAGGATTTACAAACCCCCCCCAACCCCGCCCGCCCCCCCCGGGGGGCTCCGGCGGGCGCTGAGCTGGAAACGGAGCAGCGGCTCCGGGGGGGGCCCGGGGGGGGTCCCGGTGTCCCCTCGGACAATGGCCTCGGTCACGGCCCGCTCCAGGGCCAGGGGGGACACCCCCAAATCCTGGACACCCCCGGGACCCCGAACACCGCCAGGACCCTGAAACCCCCCGGGACCCCCGGGATCTGGAACCCCCCCGGGATCCTGAAACCCCCCGGGACCCCCGAAATTTTGAACCCCCCCAGGACCCTGAACGCCCCCTAAATCCTGAACTCCCCCAAAATTCTGAGCCCCTCCAGGACCCTGAACCCCCCCGGGACCAGCGGGACCCTGAACTCCCCCAGGACCTTGAGCCCCCCCAGGACCCTGAGCCCCCCCAGGACCCCCGGGACCCTCAAGCCCTCGATTCCCCCGGTTGCCCTCGGTGTCCCCGGTGCCCGGAGCCCCCCCGGAGCCCCCCCGGGGCCGGAGGCGGCGGCGGAGGCGGCGGCGGCCCCGCCACACCCGGTACCACACGCAGCAGCTCCACCGGGAGGGGCCCCGGGGGCGCTTTGCGGGCGGGACCCCCGCCCCGTCCGGGACCCCCTCGGGGAGGCGACGCTTCGAGCCCGGCCCCGGTGTCCCCGCGTCCCCAACTTCCCCCCGGGAATCGCCTGTCACCCCCTCCGGGTGACATTCAGCTCCCGGGGATGGCTCCGCGGGATCCGGGAGCAGCCCCCCTTCATCCCCCGGCATCCCAAATTCCCCTCGAGACCCTCCCGTCACCTTCTCCAGGTGACATCTGGCTCCCGGTGATGGCTTCCCCTCATCCCCGGGGTCCCCAAATTCTGCTCGGGACCCTCCTGTCCCCCACTCCCGGTGACATTTGGCTGCCGGGGGTGGCACCTCCGGTGTCCCCGTGTCCCCAAATTCCCCTCGGGAATCGCCTGTCCCCTTTTCCAGGTGACATTTGACTCCCGGGGGTGGTTCCTCCTCATCCTCCGGTGTCCCCAGGTCCCCAAATTCCCCTCGGGAATCGCCTGTCCCCTTCTCCAGGTGACAACTGGCTCCCGGGGGTGGCTTCCCTTCATCCCCGGGGTCCCCAAATTCCCCCCGAGCCCCTCCTGTCCCCCACTCCCGGTGACATTTCGCTCCCAGGGGTGGCTCCCCCAGTGGCCCCGCGTCCCCAAATTCCCCTCGGGAATCGCCTGTCCCCTTTTCCAGGTGACACTGTGCTCCCGGGGGTGGCTGCCCCGCTGTCCCCGTGTCCCCAAATTCCCCTCCTGTCCCCTTTTCCAGGTGGCACCGGGCCCACGGGGGTGGCAGCCCCGCTGTCCCCTCGGGCTCGCAGCCGCAGCCCAGCACCTCCCTGAGCACGAACCCCGCGGCCGCGCTCACCTCGCTCTGCGGGACCCCCCCGCGCCCCCCCGGCGGCGGCAGCGGCACCGGGATCAGGAATTCCCCTCGGTCACCGCCGGCATTCCCGGGATTGCTGGAATTCCCGGTGTTCCCGGGCTGCAGCAGCCGCAGCACGCCCCAGGGCCGGCCCCGCCGCGATCGCTGCAGGAACTCGGGGCCGCGGCAGAGGCGGGCGGCGGCGCGGCAGCAGCGCACGAACCGCGACACCGTGCGAGCCGTCACATTGGCGGCCACGTTGTGGCTCAGCTCGAAGGGGTCCTGCAGGGTCAGGGGGCCCGGGCGGAGACCCCCGAGGCTCTCCGGAGGGGGGCGAGGCAGAGCTCGGCCCTCCAGGGGGGACAGGAGGAGCCCCCCCAAATCCAGGGTGCCGAAATAGGAGAAGAATTCGGCCAGGAGGGAGGCTGGGAGGGGAGAGGGGGTGGTCAGAGAGTTGTGGGGGAGATGCCCCCGGAAATATTCAGGACAGCACAAAAATCAGGCAGAAATAACCCAGAAAACAGCCAGAAACTGCCCTAAAAACACCCAGAACCAACCCCAAAAGCACTCCCAAAAACACCCAGAAACACCCCCAAAAATACCCTCAAAATCACCCAGAAACATCCCCAAGAACACCCAGAAACCCAGCCCCATTTTGGGGGTCCCATCCCATTTTGGGGAGGGGTCTCAGCCCCCCCTCACCTGCCAGGCGCTGCACCCCCGCCCACAGGCGCAGGGCGTAGCCCAGGGGCCGCACCCGGGGGTCGGCGTCGGCGCAGAGGCGCAGGAAGCGCGTGTTGAACAGCGCCAGGCTGGGGCGAAAAACGGGGAAAACGGGAAAAAAGGGGAAAAAACCCCAGTCCCTCCCAGTGCTCCCAGTTGCTCCCAGTCCCCCTCCATCCCCCCTCCCAGTCCCTCCCAGTGCTCCCAGTCCGTACCGGTTGTCCAGGCACACGTCCCCGGCCAGCCCGGACTGTTTGTGGCTGAATTTGACCACGGGGCGCCGGGCCCCGGGCACGGCGCGGACCCCCCGGACCCCCGGCACGCAGCGCCGCAGCACCGCCCCCACCAGCGCCAGCGCCTGCTCGGGGGGAGCCCCCCGCCCCAAAAGGGACCCCCGGGACCCCTCGGACCCCGACAGGGACCCCTCGGACCCCGACAGGGACCCCTCGGCCTCGGGGGACTCGGACCCCGACAGGGACCCCCCCTCAGAGCCGCAGCGGGGAGAGGAGGGCTCGGAACCCGAATGGGGGTCACCCGAAGGAGACCCCAAAAGGGACCCCAAAAGGGACCCCTCGGACCCCAAAAGGGACCCTTCGAGGGAGGGGTCTCGGTCACCCGAAAGGGACCCCAAAAGGGACCCCTCGGACCCCAAAAGGGACCCTTTGTCCCCCGAGAGGGACCCCTCGGACCCCAAAAGGGATCCTTCAAGGGAGGGGTCTCTGTCCCCCAAGGGAGACCCCAAAAGGGACCCCTCGGACCCCAAATGGGTCCCTCTGTCCCCCACAAAGGACCCCTCGAGGGGGGGTTTCCCATCCCCCACAAGGGACCCCTCAGACCCCAAAGATGTCCCTTTGAGGGGGGGGGCCTTGTCCCCCAAAAGGGACCCACGGGGAGGGGGGTCCCCATCCCCCAGAGGGGTCCCCGGGCTCTGGGGGGCCCCGTTTGGGGGTCTCAGGGGTTGGGGGTCCCCATTTAGGGTCTCTGGGATTTGGGGATCCCCATTTGGGGGGCTCAGGGTCTGGGAGTCCCCATTTGGGGTCTCTGGGATTTGGGGGTCCCCATTTTGGGGTCTCAGGCTCTTGGGGTCCCCGTTTGGGGTCCTGGGGCTCTGGAGGTCTCTATTTGGGGTCTCTGGGATCTGGGGGTCCCCGTTTGGGGTCTCTGAGATTTGGGGATCCCCATTTGGGGGTTTCAGGATCTGGGGGTCCCCGTTTGGGGTCTCTGAGATCTGGGGGTCCCCGTTCGGGGGGCTCTGGGATCCCCATTTGGGGGGCTCAGGGTCTGGGAGTCCCCATTTGGGGTCTCTGGGATTTGGGGGTCCCCATTTAGGGTCTCTGAGATTTGGGGATCCCCATTTGGGGGTTTCAGGATCTGGGGGTCCCCGTTTGGGGTCTCTGGGATTTGGGGGTCCCTCTTTGGGGTCCCGGGGATCTGGGGGTCCCCGTTTGGGGTCTCTGAGATCTGGGGGTCCCCGTTCGGGGGGCTCTGGGGGTCCCCATTTGGGGTCTCTGGGATCTGGGGGTCCCCGTTCGGGGGGCTCGGGGGGTCCCCCAGCTCCAGGTGCAGGTCCAGGTCGCAGCCGTGGACGTCGAAGCCGTTGACGGAGGAGCCGTAGGGGACAACGGAGCAGCCTGGGGACACGGGGGGACAGGTGAGACAGGGGGGACAGGTGAGGGACAGGGGAGGGACACGGTGGGACAGGTGAGGGACAGGTGAGGGACACAGGGGGACAGGTGGGGACAGATGAGACAGATGTGAGATGTGGAGACAGATGGGACAGGTGTGGGGACAAGTGAGACAGGTGTGGGACAGAGGTGGGGCACGTCACACACACCTGGGACACATCCCACACATCTGGGGCACGTCCCACACCTGGGGCATGTCACACACACCTGGGGCACACCTCAAATACATCCCACACATCTAGGGCACACCTGGGGCACGTCACACACACCTGGGGCACGTCACACACCTGGGGCACACTTGGGGCACGCCTGGAGCACACCTGGGGCATGTCCCACACACCCGGGGCACACCTGGGACATGTCCCACACACCTGGGGCACACCTGGGACATGTCCCACACACCTGGGGCACACCCGGGGCACACGTGGGGCCCGCCCCCCGTGCCCACCTGGGAAGAACTCGCT